AAGAATCAATAAGAAGAAATTCAGATTCAGCAGCCACTCCAAGCAAAGCCATGGGTCTGTTCTCTGTTCCTGCAGAAGAGCATTTTCCTGGAGTGTCCTGGAGTGTTGTGGAAGCTCTGGGGAGGGACTGGCTGGGAAGAGGGCCCAGAGCCATGGGCAGCCACAGAGGACAGTGCTCCAAAGGAGAGTTTGGGGTGTCAGGACTGCCTTGCCATCAAGAACTGTTGGGAATGGAAATTTATAAGGATGACCCACCAAGTGCTTTTCCTGAGGTCCTGGGCTCTGAGTTGGAACCGTCTTGCCTGCATTCTGTCCTGTCTGCAGTACCGCACACATGTCCTGAAGTACTCCTGAATGATGAGACAAAACACATTTTCCTTGAACATTTAAAACCCATGTTTTCAAAGCAAACAATAGAATATAAGAAAATGCTTTCAAGTGTAGAAAGTACCTCAATTGGTCTGCAGATAACATGGGGGTTACTGGCTCTATGACCTTTTGAATTAGCAGATCCATTATGCCATAGTTAAGGTACAAGCAGAACAATAAAAATAGATTAATTTTAAAAGTCGTTTTAGAATGATTTCTTTAACATTAAATCTATATGGAAACCATGCAACCCTTAAGTTCCTGCTTTGGTTTGTATGACCAAAGTAAGTTGAGCTTTAACTCGGAGGAAACTAGTTAATGAAGAAGAAAATTTTGTAGCTTGTTTTAAATTGTGCTTGAAAGACATTCAGGACTGGGAAACCATTTAGGAGAGTATTGATATAACCTGTATAAATATCAGATTAGAACATTCTGATTTAACGTGAAGTTCTCTACATATCTTCAGTACCCATTCTTGAAGGGCTACTGTCCCACATGCTGTGTGTCTCCTCCATTTGTCTTTGATCACCTAATGGAAGTGGATATTTGTAATATTTACCCCCACTGTATTGTTATTAGGCCTTGATGAGTTTTTGGTAAGCTGTTATCATTTCTCCATTTTGTGGAACGATTTTAATTTCCTATCTTTCTCACACCCCTTTCATTCCTCTTCAAATACAATTTAGATGGAGGTCCTATGGTGAAAGTTGCAATATTAAACTTACCTTTAGAATAATCCTTTCTCAAACTAGGAACCCAAGCAGTGTTACCTTAAATAAAAAGGAACTTGATACTATTTGATGTTGCTCAGTTATAGAGAGGCAAATCAGGTACTTCCTTTATACAAATTTCCCATGTTCTAGGAATTGAGGTATCTTTTACACTAAGATTTTTCTGAGGTAACTCCTTTTGTTTGTTGATAACTTTAATAAAGGTCATTTAAGGATATATGTTTTTAAGGACTCCCA